GCAGGACATTAAAACAGGGAAAGTGGAAAAACAAATTAAAAGCTTTGGAGTATCCTTTAAAAACTATGTTAAAGAGATGAGGAAAAAAAAACTTAAAAGCATAGGTTGTTTAATACATAAATATGGAAAATCTGATAGCGACAGTTGTTACAGATGAGATAAAAATAAGTTCTAAGATACCTAAGTATTAATTAAATGGCCAAAGACCAAAAGCCACTTTCTTCTCTGGCCCCAGTGTAATACCAGTTGGAGTAAAAGGATGAGGATTTGGCCCTGCCTCTGCCAGTCACTACCAAATAAGGCTCTTTGCAGAATTCAGTAGCAGAGTTGCTGGGAATCCAGACACAGTGGGAGGAAGCTGTCTTTCTCTCAGCCTCCTCAATACAAGGGCAAAGGATTCAGTTTTCTTCCTCAAGGTGTAACTTTCGCTTTCCCATGTGCTGAAGTTCTCCTACCAGTACTTGCTGCTGACTTTTCCTTCCTACTTGGCCAAGATCTCCGTGACGTGTGGTGGTGTGGGAAGGATGGGGTGGTTATGATTGTGAGGATGAGATCCACAGCTGTATTCTGGCTGTGCTTTCCCTCACATTGGCTGTTCCTGTGCCTCCCCAGCCTGACACTCTCATATCAGATGGCCCTGACAACCCGCTATGGTGAGTGCCCAGCTCCTTCTGCCTGCTGCTGAAGAAAATGGGTTGACTGTGGTGTGTTTTGGTAATAACATGTCTCTGAATGAATAAGAGTGTGATTTAAGCTCTGGTGGTGCTGGCTGCAGCATTAGAGGGTTCTATGGACAAGCTGTGATTCCAGATGAGGTTTTATTGCTGCGTCTCAGCAGCAGAGCCACGTGCTTCTGAGTTCAGAGGGGGGTTCTGTGGTGCTGGTGAGTAGCCTGGGGACAGGCACCTCTTGGAGATGAAGGTTTCACAGCAGGTAATGTGTTTTGACATTTTTTGTGTTTGGGGGAAAATGCCCAAGGAAGGGATGTAGTTGTGCACGTGTAATTTTAGATGGTAGAAAAAATAACTGTCAAATTTGTCATGTTTGTTCTTAAATGTATGAAGTTCACATTTAATTAATACCCTTTAACATTTTATTCCATTCCAAAGTTTTCAAGTAGCTTTTAAACTGTTGCCTTTTTCCCTTTGGTTATCTCTGTGGATGAGTTTGAGCCTTTATCTTCCAGCTTTACTATGGTTTGACTGAAACTTTGTGCTCAGTTCCCCTCTTGAGATAAATGTGTTTGGGAAGGATGCCTAGAGCCTATGGAAAGCACACTGAGGGCTTAAGCAGTTAGTGTGCCAGGAGTTGTCCTGTTGCTAACTCATCCTGAATCCCTGTACTGGTGTGTTTTTCATTCTCTCTCCTAAGTAGCTGACCAGGGTATTTATCTGTTTTAAAGTACTTTGCTTGGAGCTCTCTGACTGAGCTCATTTTGCTAGAGAGCTGTGTGATGATAGGCTGTATTTTGTGTTTCCTTTCCCATATACCTTTGTATGTGCTTTCAAATTTGTTTTCCTTTGGGAATTTGTTCACTTTGGGTCTGTGACTGTGCGTCCCTTTCAGAAGAGTCATTCAGAATAGTAGCAGCTGAACATGGTATTGAAAAGGAGCTGGTTCAAAGACCTGTTCTTTGTTTACTGGCTGCAGCATGAACTAATGAAGAATGAAGTATTTGAGCATTTGTCTGTGCCAAGGCAAATTCATGCCTTTTCAGTATTCATTTGATACAAACTCCTGTTTTTCACTGCTGATCTGGAGAATGAGCTTGCATTTCCTGTTTCAGTACCCTTCCAGCTCTGTGTGGCCCAGTCACTGCTCTCTGCTGTGGACTCTGCTGGGCTCAGGAGTGGCAGGGAGGCTGGAGGAGAGCTGTCACACTCACTGTGTGGAGTGCAGCTCACTCAGCAGAGATGGAGCTTACAAAGAGGAGCATTGGGAGGATGGTTGGTAGGGGAGTTTTTGCAGGCTTTCCCATGTGGTTGTATAGAGGTCTGTGCTGTAACCTCTCGTGGGTGCTTCCCAGTTTATAAGGCACAGGTTACTAAACCAAAATGGAGTGAAGCAGTGTACACTGAGGGCCTGGCCAGTGCCCCCTTCCTCAGCCAGTGCTCAGCTGCTGGTACTGGATCACTGGCTCACTGCCCCAGCTTCTATTTTGACATTTGATGCCTGCAGCTGACCTCTGATTTTCTTTTCTTTCTCCCTCTTCTGGAGTCCTTTTGTTGCAGTGAGTTCACATATTGTCTTGTCCTTTGGATACCAGTGAAAGAAATCTTAATCCCATTTTCATTTTTTTCAAGAACCAAGTGCATTTAATGTAGAATTTCCAAATAGGACTACACAACCTGTAAGTCCCTTGTGCTCCTCTATAGATCTGTATAGCTCTGTGTGTCCCATACTTAGAATTGCTGTACTTATCCAGATTTCCCCCTTCCAAGCTTCCTGGAGTTAATTTCCAGGGTGTGACCACTGTCTGGTGGAAGGATGTTGCTCTCGGATTAGCTTGTTAACCCCTACCCTCTTGACCTTTCATGTCTTATTCTGTGGGGTTTGTTAGATTTATTCCTGTAGTTTCTTTGTTGGATTTACTGTGTTTCGGTTGATTTCTAAATATTTATTAGTTCCGTGTTTATGACCACAAAGAGCTTTTATGAAACCAGGTACTAAAACTGTTTTACCCAAAACAAGGCACAGCACTCCAGATATGTACCTGCCCTAGCGTGGCAGGGCTGTCTGACCACGTTTAAGCAACCACAGATCTACTCCCATTTTTTTTGCCACAGTTTACCCAAAATCAGTGACTAGATGAGATAGTTTGGTGGTGGGGATCAGCTGTCTGTAAAATTCCCTAGGAAGCACATAGGAAGATAGCCCGTCAGTTCCACATGTGCTTTTGTGTTTTGTTTTCTCCTCTGTGCATTTGGTGCTTTCTTAGTTACTTGTTGTTTGGCATCAGTGCCCTGCTCAGTGTTTTATGATGCATACAAATAAAACCAGTGTGTGCCCTGAAGTTTTCACATTCTGAAGACACATGGAAAACAGAGAAATCCAGATGCTGAGGACTCCAGGTTTGGGATTCTTTAGTTGCTGTTTCGATAGTTCTTTTTCTGCATTGGAAAGAAATACCAGTGGAGCAAAATTTTTGTTTTAGATATGCTCACTGAATAACTGCCCCTAAGAATATGTCATGACCTCAGCAGTAAAATAGGGTGCACTGTTCTTCCTGTGTCTGTATGGAACACAGTTTGGACCTCTCTGTGCCAAGGGACACTTGCCAGCCTGACAGGTAGGCAGGCCTGACAGTCACCCTCAGTCGGGCTGATAGGGCCTTGTTGTCCAGATTTGGAGATCAGTTTTATCAAGAGCCTTACTTCCAAATGGGGCAGTAGGCTTAAGCTTCAGGAAAGGATTGTCTGCTCCTGTGTTTCCCATAGTGAGCAGCACTGCCTGCAGGAGAACAAGGGATGTAATCTGAAAGCAGCTGAAATCTGTCGTGGTTGTTCCTGACTTTTAGTAGAACCACTCGTGTTATCAGTGTGGAAAGCATTTAATCTGTGTAGGCTGTCTCTGACCTCCTGACATGGGTTACTGGGTGCAGAGACACCTCAGATGAGCAGTGCCACAAAAAACACAGCTGTGTCTTGCTGGTTTTGTGAATGGCTCTTGTTAATCTTTTGGCTTCTTGTTCTTATGAGGTGGTACTGTGGGAAGGGGAAGCAGTGAAGCACAAGGCTCTCTTAAGTCCTTAGTTTAAGTCCTCTGAGATGTTTGAAACCATTCCTGTTGACAAAACTTTTCTTTCGTCCGTTCAGGATTAGACCTGAACCCTGCACCCATTTTGACAGGAGAAATCTGAGAACATATTATTTCTCTTCCTAAATGTCAGTTTTTAAAAGAGCACGAGTTGGGGGGAGGGTTGTGTATTGCTTGCCATGAACTGAATTTTTTTCTGCAGGAAGTTGCTTTTCTTCAAGGCCAAAGATAAATAGTAAAATGCTAGAAACTTCCTAGGCCCTGCCTTTCAGCTGTCTAATCCTGTTCTTTGCAGACTTCATAAGACTCTCTGCTACGTGCAGTGTTGCTTTAAATTGTCAGGGGTTTTTTGCACTGATTTGTAATATGATAGAAGGGGGTCACTGTTGAAACCAGTAGCACATCATTTTAGGCTTGATCCAAGAAGAGAATTCATTTTTTCACAGTGTTGTCTGCCCATGGAATGCCATGCCACAGGACACCACTGGAGAGGGACTCAGCTGGATAGAAAGCAGTCTGAATAGTTCCATTGCAAACAATTTTAGTATTTATCCTGGATAGGATGCATATAATCAAACCTCATAATGTTTCAGGGCAGTAAGTTTTCCTGTGGGATCCAATATATGACACTAAAAATAGATTTAACTCTCTCTTTTCCTTATGGGAGAAGAAATTTCACTCTTATCTTGATGAAGTACATGCCCAATAATCTGATCAGAGTAGGTCCTCAATTAAAAAGCTGCATAGAGGCTGGTGAGCAAAAGTAACTGTTCATCTCCCCCCGATCTTTCATTTGGTGTCACTTTGCAGTCAGGTCCTTTCCCCGGTTCATTTTCTCCTGCTGCATTCCTCTGCAAGTAGCAAGTCCTTTGGCTGTAAAATCAGAAGAGAGGAGGAGAAAGGCAGCAGTGCCTGCATCATTTTATAAACTCATCTTGATCTTATCTGTGGCCCTTTCCGCCCAAACCCCCCGAGCCGTGCGCGGAGTGAGTGCCTATAAATAGCCGCGCTGCTCTCGTGCAGGGATGGGCAGCGCTGAACCAGAGCCGTGTTTGCTCTGAGCGCTGCAGCGCTGCTGCTCTGGCCTTTCATGTCTGAGCTGGGGAACTGAGGTTTTCTATACATAGAGCCTGGCAATGACATAAATGCTGCTTAGGGCGGAGCAACGTGACCCCCGGGATTGTTGCCTTTTGGTAAAACAAAAAAAAAAAAAAAAAAAAAAAAAAAGAGGGTTTAAAAGAGGAATGGAGGAATGCAGGTCTTGTGCAGAGGTGAGTGAGCCCAGCCGAGGTGAGGGAGCCCTCGGAGCCGAGCGGGAGTGGTGGGAGCTGAGGGGAAGCAGAGACCCGGTGGCTGCTGGTGGGCTGGGCAGGAGTGTGAGCGGCCACAGGGCCACTGCCTGAGCCTGGGGAGTGTGGGGTCTGGCTGACCCCATCTAACCAGAGCTGTAAATAACCATTGCAGCAGAGCTCTGAAATCTCCGCCTGCAAGTTGGTTTTTTTCTCATCAGTCTCCTGGCTGACTTGATATCTTCAGACTTTGCATCCCAGGAGTCTTCCCCAGGATTTTTAGTTCCTCTCTGACTTTGGTTCAGGGCTTTGCAGAGTTCAGAATCTACTTTCTCTGTCTCATTTTTTAATTATATGTATTTTTTTCCCAAGGAATCCAGAAGATCACTCCATGTTTCTGTTTTAATCTGGAAAATCTCCTTCCACTTTCCCATTTTCTTCCCTGTAAAAGGTGAACTGCAGAAATGTGTGATTTCTTTAGCATGGTAATTTGGATGCTGTTGCTTTACATTTCTCTTTTATACTCAGGTGCTGGAGGTTAAAGTAACTCATCAGAGAGACATTTATATGTATATATTTTAGTGGGTCTCCACAGAATTGGGCGGTACCGTTTGTTCCATTTGACACCTGGAGGATGGAGACACGGAGAGTGAAAATTGCTTTATAACTCATAAAAAGACCGTTGCAGAGTAGGAGCATGAATGCACTTTCCCGGTTCCAGGTGAATGCCTTCAGCTCTGGCCTTGCCTTTGGGACCATTTCAGCAAGGGATGCTGTTGGGTCAGTCTTTGCACTCCATTTTCTCTTACGCTGAGGCTTCAGATTAAGATCATGGCTGAATTTCAGATTCTTTACATCACACCAGCTCTGAGGTGGTTTAACATCTTGTCTCTGGGTATCGCTATAGTGTGTTTAACTTCCGGACCCTAAAGCCACTCCCAGATAGATGCCTTATGGCTTCTTAAAGAGTATTCCTACTGCTGTGTCCCTGCTGTGGCAGGTGGTGGAAAATGAGTGCCAAGATGCCTTTCAGTGGCTGCTCCAGAGCTGATGTGGGGCTGGCTGTTTGCTGGTACGAGCTTAGTCCGGGATGGTGCGTTTTCATTTTCTGTTTCCACTCTGCAGGCAGTGCCCTGGTACTCTGAGAGTCCCGGGGGAAGCAGGCACACTGAGCTGCTGTTTGCCTGAGCACTGGCAGGTATTTCTGCCAGTATTACAGAACACTGGGAGATGGGGAGGCTTGAGCTGTGCTCACCTTGGAATTGGCCAGGTCCCAGGATCCAAGATAGGTGAGGTTATTCTAGGAGATAGGGGAACTCTCTCCCTTTTCTCTTTCTCAGCACAGTGGAGGAAGACTAGAGTGGCTTTTGTCTCCGACAGCTCTCTTTGGGATCTGTGGGTATGTGGAGCCCACTCCTTCCCTTCTGATTTGGGAGTAGAGGCTTCACCGTGGGGGTCCAGACCGTGTGATCTCCCAGGCCAGTCTGAGGATGGCTCTGTCTGGCAAGAAGCATGGATTGGTAGATGGATGTTTCTCCTTATTGTCAGCATTTTTTCCAAGTGCTTGTTGAGGAAACTTTGAGCTTGGCAAGGGCCAGTGTATGTGGAAAGTATTAAAATCCGCAGCTGTTTCAAAGAGGAAAGACCCACATTAGAAATACATATAGCATTTTAAAAGCGAGTTTAATGCCCTGGAAAGGATTTCTAAAATGAACTAAACCCCGTGGATCAGTAAGAGCATTTATTTTGTGCCCTGTAGTAGTTTATTTTGTGCCCTACTGTAGTAGCCCGACAGTGTCCATTTGGTGCTGTTTGTGAATTAATTGATACTCATCAGTGACCTGACTTACAAACCTGAGTTTCACTGAGACCTCTGGTATGTTAAAGCTGTGTCATTTTCCTGGCACCAAGATACAGAATAACCTGTCTTACAAGATTGTCAGACCATTTGTTTCCTGTGTTTTAACTGTGTGTTTATCACGTTCGGCAAGAAGTAGGTTCCTGGGACTGTTTCTTGGGGAGAGAAGTAGGTTTCTGGTGGTACTGAGGCCTGACATAGCACTGTTTGCTGCTCCTAGGCAGTACTTTCAATCAGGAATTTGGGGCTGGACACTGAGACTTTTCTGCCTCTTGTCTTTCTGAGCTTTAGTTTTTGAGATTATTTTCGTGTAGCTGTTGGTATTCAAAACCTGTCCTCAGCAAAGGAATCAAATGGATTTGACAAAGCAGAGTGAAGCGCATGTGGATTCAATCCATACCCCCATGTATGCATAGTATGTGAGCGAGCATCTGGGCCTGTGTGTGCTGGTATGTCAGCCTAGTTCTAAAGCAGTTAAAGAAAAAAAAGGCAGCGTGCGTAGACAGCTTTGGCACTGCAGCCCTGGGAAATGGCAGCCAGCCAGAGTGCTGATGCAGGGCCAAGACTCTCTGAGGAACACCAAATGCTGAGCTTGGATGCAGCTCCTTCTCCGCTCTAGTTTCACTCTTCACCCCCTGGGCTTGCAGCTTGCCAGCCCTGTGCCAGGTAGATGCTGATAATTTCACAAGGCAGAACTGGAAACAGAGGCAGATATCCCGGTGTGTATGCACTGCTAATCAGATGCCAGTGAAATGAAAGGCACAATTACCTGCGACTGAAATCCGACCTCAGTGAGTTTTAACTGTTACACTCCTCAAGTCACTGTTAGACTTTGAAATTCAGTCTCATTCAGTCACAAGTTATTTATCTTTTTTGATATCGTGATAGCACTGGAGACAAGGGTAAAACCGCACCGCGGTGTGGGTTGTGTGTTTGTGAGGGCTTAGTCTTGTTAAGTTTCCTCAGTGCTGCCGACTGACTGTGAAACGCTCCCAGCAGAGGGCACTGGGGTTATTGATCTCCAGCTCCGGTTATTCCCCTGCGAGTCTGCACTGGGAGAACGGGAAAGGTCCCTGTCAGTAAAACCTGTGCTTCACCCTCTGCTCTCCTGGTTTTGTAGACTGTCATAAAGGAGGGGATGCTGATGAAGCAGACCAGCTCCTTCCAGCGCTGGAAGAGACGATATTTTAAGCTGCGAGGACGAACACTCTACTATGCAAAAACTGCCAAGGTAAGGTCCTGCCAATCCCTGGGAGTCCAAGGAAGGCAGTCAGTGGTGGGGCTCAGAGGCAGGTGGTTGTAGATGGGAAGGCAGCCCTCAGCAGAGAAAGGAGCACGTGCTCTTTAAGCCCCTGTCTGCAGGCTTTGTAACTACTAGAAGATCCCTGTGTTTTGCCTCACACTTGGAAATCCTCGGTTTTGAAGTAAAGCATTGAGGACCTGTGATAATGATTTTTCCATGTTTTCCCTCCTTGGTGCATTTTAGAAGGGAATGGGCTCTGAATCAATAGGAAGGAGAGAATATGAATGAAAAGAGAAAGTGCAAGCAAGACAAGCAAGGCTAAAATTTATCAAATCAGAGCTACCATGCATCTGGTTAGTCAGCTGATATAAAACTGTCTCCTTTCATGGGAACAAAGCCTACAGTTATTTGGTTTTTTTAAATAATTCTTTAATAAAAATAAAGTAATTGAGTTCACTGACTAAAGACAAGCCAGAGTGAGCCCCAGTGTATGGAACTAGACTTCCAAGTCCATTATGTTGTTGGTGCTGGATGTTTACTTTGGATCACAGAAGGCTGGGATGGACCATGCCAGGCAGACTCCCTTTGAGTCTGCTGCTTATACACTGGATTCAGTAATTCACTGGGATTTTGAATTTTTTCTTTCCAGTCCATTATTTTTGATGAGGTGGATCTGACAGATGCCAGCGTGGCAGAATCCAGCACAAAGAATGTCAACAACAGCTTCACGGTAGGACTTTTTGCATTATTTTCCATTCTTCTTTCGTCTTTTCCTCACTCCCATGTCTTTTGCAGATTGTAAAAGCATCTGAACAATCTTCACAGCGTCTTTCACTGAAAATAAAAAAAAAATTATAATCTTGTTTTTCTTTACGACATGCTAACTCATCTGTGTGCTCATGGGAAGTACCTCAGGTTACTGTGTATTGTGCTAAAACTCAGCATTCAGGGATTTGCTTACCTGTAAGCTGGGAGGGCTTGACAGAACCCATTCACACGGTGGGACAGACAAATTTGTTCTGCTGGGGGAGTTAAGGGTAATGTTGATGTTTATGCTGCAGATCTTGGAAAAGGAATTTAGTTTTCCCTTCAGGCATTAAAATATGTAAACTTCTTTCTCTGACTTTATTTGTGTGTGTCTGTATGTATGTTTATATATGTGTGCTATATATAGTGGGAAAGCAAAAGGAGGAACAGAAAGAAATAGCACAGAAATAACTGTGGAATTGGTTCAGGATACTTGTTAGATGTGAAATGTGTGCCAGGTATTTGCAGTCTGGAGATGTGGTGGTATCCCTGCTTTATTTTCTCCAGGCTCAGGAAGTAGGAGGTAAAATTATTATATTTCTGAGGTGCAGGTGTTCTTCAAGCTCCATTTTGAGGGGAGTCCCTGGTGTGCAGAAAAAAGCCATTAACATCAGCCATGCAGGCTGAGTGTCAGGTCTTGGTGTGAGTTTTGGAATTGAGCAGCAGTAACCTCCATGCAGCCCCTGAAGGGCTCAGGAGGGAGGAGGATGTGGAGAAAGGAGGCAGTGCTACTCTGAGGAAGGGGAAAGGGGAGCAGTCCAGGTGGAGGGAGGAAGCTGACCCTGCAGGATGGTGACCTGTAGGTGGTGACCAAGGCTGAGCAGTGTACCTTGAGCTGCAGCAGGAGGGACCTGCTGCTTTAAGCATCTGCCAGAGGCCATATCTGTTGTGTAGCTGTAGCTTTTGGCTTTGCAGTGCCTGTGGAAAGCAGCCATGGCACCCACCCTGTGTCCAGATAAAACCCCAATACTTCCCAAAGCTTGAAAATACTTTCTGCATCCATAACTGGACAGGTAGGAGGCCTGATAGTAAATATTGATATCAGTTGTCAACGTGTGAGCACAGAGAGGATTCTGTAGTGATTTCAGTAGGGGATACGTTTTCAAGAATGGGAAGTTACTTACCTGTTAATAAAGCATTTTATCTTGGATCTTGCTTCAGTTTTCTCAGATATAAATAAAGACTGATGTTTCAGGTAAGTGTACTGTTACTGTTTTGCTTGTTGGTATAGTTGGGAGAGATCTAATCTCCCTCAGGAACACTGTGTTTAGGGATGGAAGAAAGTAGTGTGTTTGCTCTCTCAGATTGCCCCATCCAAGTCCAACAGTGAAGAGTTATTTCCAAGACTCTGGTATCAGGCTCTGCCAGTCCCTGCCTTCCCTGGTGTGTAAAAGTACAGGGTTACCATGAAACTCAAGGAGCAGGTACAGTCTGCACTGGCTCCAGCTGAGCACTGTATCATGGGGCTCGGGTAAACTTCAGGAAAAACATGTTTCCTCTTAATTTCTGTTTACTCTTTGTATCATGGCTTACAGAGGGACTTGACTGTGGTTTACTGTGAGCTCTGAAAATCCTTAGAAGATCAGAAGGTGGCCTGGTGTTGCTGCTGTTTGCTCTGCCACATCACTCCTGTCAGTGCTTTGGATGCCTTGCAGTCATGCAGTTTTCTGTTGATTTTCTTTGAGACCACTCTGTTTCCTCTCTGTATTTCCCCGGCTTGGTTCCTCTCTAAAATTCAGAATTCTTTGGTGCATTTTTTTCCCCTGTTTCATATCAGTGGGATGCATGATTTGAGTTTTTCTCCTAAACTGAAAGCATGCAGCACGTGGTGTTGTATAGCAGAGTTTTAGATGGCCTGGTTTTCTTTTTGGTTTTCTGTTTTCTTCAATGGAAAGTGGTAGTTTGGGATTTATGAAAGAGTGGTTTCTTTCTGAGGAAACTCAGCCTCTCTCCAGGCATCTCTACTGCTTAATGTATAGATTCTACAGGTCAGGTTGCATGAGTGACACCCCTAAGGTACTGACAGAGGAAGTGGGAGACAAAAACACCAGATAAACCACTTAGAGGAGAATGTGTATTTAAAACAAAGAGGTAATAAGGGCTGACCAGTCAGAAGAGAAATTGGTGTCCGGGCAGTGAGGAGCATGAGGAGGCAGCATCAGGAGAGAAGAATACCAGAGCAAGAGCCAGCAAAGGTTATGCTGCATACATAGAGGAATAAAGTTGAAAAATAGCTGCCAGTAAACCTTTTGCATAGGACATGCCTGACAGGTAATTTGTTTGCTGTCAGCAGGCAGGGGAGTGAGAGAAGTGAGTTTTAAGACATAGACCTGTTCCTCTAAGAAGAAGAGTGTATAATAACGAATTCCACTGTTGTTTACTTAGTTGATCCTGCATAGATTTCCTCAGTAAGTGTATCCTGTTTGCAGTGGGGATAGTTTTCTGGACTGCTACCTGGAGTTAATGGATGGATGACTACAGAATGGGCTGGGAGCGTGTGATTGGGGCATCTTTGACTTAAGATGTTGTACAACTGTGTCCCCTGAGGTGTAAGAAAAAGCTTTATGTTTAACTGTTGTTCCTTTATGTCAGTTAGTGTGGCTGCAGAGGTATTTAGCAGGAAGCCTCTGGGAACAAATTTTACAGCAGCTCCATGCCAGACCTCTCTTCTCTCATTAGGCCAAAAGGTGTAGTATTTGCTGATTCTGTCATATTTCTGCCACTTCTGTCCTTCAGAGTCAGCTGTCTACAAGGTAAATTCTTTTGGGATGTGTTGGCTGTAAGTGAAGGGGGTTTCCACCTGTGATCCCTCAGTATGTGGTGCCTAGATCTCTCACCAGTGCATTTTCCTAGGGTTGCTGTCTTGCACAGGGCCTTAGAGAAGATCTGCTGTGGTACAAACTCAATGAAAACTGTGTTGTCCTGGTAGCTCAAGACCCTTTATTTCAAAGAGAGCAATCAACTTTTAGCCTGGATTCTTGCCATCAGTGTGTGCTACATTTGTACTCATTATGGAATAGAATCATCAGCATTGTATGGCTGAGGGCAAAGCCTGACCTTGATTTCTGAGCAGAGCTTTCTCAGCAATACCCTCAAAACCTCTCATGATTTCTAAAAAGCAGATGATTTGGGATCACACTGGGTGTGTTGAGTCTTCCCAGTGAGACTTCAGCTCTTTCCATGAATGTTTTTTCTTGGACAGTGCAGCTTTGCAGTAACATGATTTGGTAAGACACCCACTTAATGGACTAGCCTGCAGCTGTGCTAGGAGGGTTAAAGCAAAGTATGCAGTGAGGATGGGTTCCATGCTTTAACCTGGAATAGTGTTTTCTCTAGAACATGCCAGCAAGCCTGGCTTTTACTGATCTCTCTCTCAAAATGACTCTTTACTTATGTCGTGAACCTGATCCATCCAATACGACCCTTATCCCTTTTCCCCTACAATGCTCATGAGGTTTGGGGGACACCAATCACTCTTGCCTGGTGCTCAGGTCAACACTTTGCGTCCACAGCTGCCCCCACAAGAGTTGTTGAAAAGACTTTGGCCCAGTTTTGTAAGTGTGTGTGGTGAACAAATTCTTCCTCCTCAGATCAGCTTGTGGGCTGAAGATCTGCTCTTTTCTAGAAGGTGCCAGCTGAGTTAAGCCTGCTGCCTTCAGTGCAGTTGGCACGGTTGATGGAGTGAGTCCTTATCACTTCATTGACCCTTTCCTGCCTCGTGGAATATGTATATTTATATAAAGATAAAATATGTGTTCTTTAATACTAGTAAAAAACACCTGTCGTCATCAGGAGAGAGCCTGGAAAGGACATCACGTCTTTCCAGGTACAGATTTTGTGTTCCAGTATGATTCTCACATGGTGGTTTTATAAGTTTTCCAATTATTGCTGCCAAATGGTGGTGTGGACTTTCACCCTCATTCACAAAATATGAGTCACAGCATTCGCTCTTGTCCCCTCTGACTGAAAGCTTTGAGATTCCATAGGAGCCTCTGTGGAGAGAGAGTTGTGTGTAGTTTGGTTTCTTCTTTCTGGTGGTGGAAGCTGATGGTGTAGTGGAAGACTGGTGACCCCTCCTCCATAGTTAAAGGCTCTGCACTAGAAGAGGTGGAGCTTGAGCTCCTGAGCTCCTGTAAACCCTTTTCTGTTGGGAAGTACCTCTCAGCTCGGCCGCAGACAGGAAACAGCATATTATTCCAGTCAGCGCCTGCCTCTCCACTGTACTGCCGGCAGAAGAAAACTTAGCCCAGCTCCTCCTTAAGCAGCCAGCTAATCAGCTTGTGGCCAGTGGAACTCAGCTCAGAGGGACTGACCACAGATGAGACAAATGCCAGTCATTGCACGTCAGGCACTCTGGTTAGGCTTTTCCTGAGGGACTGGGCTGCTCTGGACGCTGGTGTAGAGGACGACCGAACGTGAAAGGTAAGAGCAGGATTCTGAGTTTCCTGGACTGAGCACTGGGAAACGTGGCTCTTGTGCCAGCATAACAGATCGTCAGGAGCTCAGGCGCTTTGGAATATGTTTGCTACAAGCTCTTACTGTTCAGGTGTTCCCTCCTGAGGGGATTTATGCAGATGAGTTCTCCAGAACAGGGCTAAAGGGAAATGTGCCTGTGGTGCTGTTGGAAGTGCTGCACCCATCAGTTAAGAAATTCTGTTTATTAACTGATGATTCACCCTGACCAATGTCCCAGGAGAGAGGAAGCATTGAGATTAGAGTAATACCTCTACTCCAGAGCACTTGTGTGACTGGAGGCGACGGTGGTTGTGGTAGGTTGAGGAACAGGGAGTTGCTGGTGCTGGTGAAGGAGAGTGTGCTGTCATCTCTGAGAAGCAGTATGGATGTAGTTCTCCAGCTGTACAGAAGCCTGAGGTGTGCTACAATTTTATTTTATTATAACCTTGTTACTTAGTCCTGCCTTTC